CCATTTCGTCTTTCTAAATGTAGCATCCGGAGTGAGTAAACTTGGCTCATACTTAATATTTTATGCAGAATAAGATGCTTACTGCCTCAGATATCTCGCGCTCCTGTAATCGGCTGGCTGTCGATGCAGATCGTGGACTTCTATCATGTTAGCCGTTTAGGGAGTGTTTAATAAAAACAAAACTTTTTGACAGTGGCCAGGTAGGAGAATACTAATCATCATCCAAGTGTTCTATGATAACACTAAAATTAAATTTCTCTTTGCGATAGTGGCGCTATCGAATGGCGAAGCTAATCATTATTAGACCGCCTTTCTACGTATATGTTTATTGCTTAATTATCGTTGTTCATCTATATCTAAAAGATATAAAATGAAAACAAAAATTAAATCATAAAATATACATATAGGATACTAATCTGGTTACTTAACCCGTAATCTGATACCAACTATTATTGGGTAAAATTTCGCTACAGGCTAGTTGCAAGTGCCCAAGCATGCAATGACCGAGCGCGGCTTGGCAGTGAATTACAAGCGCTACACATGCAGTGGCGCCCACATCACCACGCCAAAACATAAACAGAAATACTAATGCCATATCAATAGCAATCACCAAATCAGCAGCAAACTACTGTAGTTTAATCAAAGCGTCATACTGAAAAGAGCATACACTACACGAGCCACCACATTAAAAACGCCATACAATACATTTTCAGAACGCGCGGATTTTTGCTGCCTAACGGTAAAAACAGATACAGAAAAAAAAAATAAATAAAAGCGATTGGTTGCTGCCCACTCTTTAAGCACCTTTAAGGTGCACAAACAAAAATCCACGTTTTAGTACAAGCATATGTATGTGTTTGTATGTGTGGATGTTTGTGTTTGCTGTTCACCGTCGATATGCTCGAAAAGCGGATCAAATTGCGATTGCGCAATTTATTTGGCCAAAAAATCGTAAACGGTAGTTGTCAAAAAATTTATGCCAACATTTGCTGAAATAATTTGTCAGTCAGAAAATTATGTTTAGTCCACACACACACATAATATATACTCTTACATACATGCACATACATCTTTTATGACATTTTGGTGTATGATATCTGATTGTTTTACATTTTTTATTGCCCTCCGTGTTTCTTCCAAAAGTGAGCGCTCCACAATACTGATTAAGGATATTCTCGCAAGTGCAGTTTTTGCGCAAAGCTAATTGTACCGTTACTTAACGGTATGCTCTAGAATATACTAGAATAATTAAAATACACTTTTGGAATGGATACATGCATTTATGAGTACTTATGGGGGTTATTAAGCGCTCCTAGCAACTTAATGGCATAAAAACAGGCATGCACATACACACACACACATACACATGTACGTCTAATTAGATGCAGGGGTGTGGCCACGCATAGTTGGATTTTATTACTAGGTATAGTGACATAATTGGCAAAGGCTGTATATAAATGAGTTCACCTGCTTAGAGAGAATTGCGAAGCGCCCAAGAAGTAGCCATTTATGTTGGCAGGTGCTGTGGCTGAGAAAAAGCATAATTGTTACTAACTCAATTACAATGTTGCACTTTGCTAGTGAGTGTCCTACATATACGTCATAAAAAAGGTTAGAAATTCAAAAAAAACAAATTTTTAACTTTCGTCATAAAAAGAATTATTTCATTTATTTTTTTTTTTTTTTTTTTTGTATTTTACATTTGATAACCACACTTCCAAATAGCAGTAAACAGACAAAAAGCTGATGCGTCAACGAAAGATCTCCAGCTGTTTAATTATCTGTCGATTCATTTTTAATTTTTTGAGGTTGACAACATCAATGGAACTTCAACTGAAATTAGTTATAATTCGTAATACCAAACAAGAGCTTATTGGTTCTAAGTTGGTTTAAATGTTTCTTCAATGTATTTACCAATTAAAAAGGATATCAAAAAGAAATTTTATGCGACAGTTTTCAAGTATGGTAATATAGATTAATTAAAGAATACTAAGTCCTGCTATAGGTCGGCAAAAATCACCCGCTGAACCCTCCAAAGGGTGCCGACTGGTAAGAGATACCATAGTAACATGACGGTGGGCAGCTAATATAAGCATCTATACGGATGGGTCCAAACTAGATAAACGAGTGGGAGATTATTAGAAACCGAAATCGCCTTCCGTCTACCAGAACCATTGCAGTATCTTCCAAGCGATGATCACAGCAATTGCAGAAAGCCTTCTTGTTCTGACAAGGAGTGTGCTCACAACAAGGAATATATTTATATACAGATAGCCCGTGGTTTTGAAATCACTTAAGTATCTTAGAATTTCGTCAAAAACAGTTAAATAATGCCTTGATCTCTTAGGGAAACTAATATCCTATTTCACGATAAACCTGCAATGTGTACCAAGACATAGTGATATTCGTGGTAACTGTGAAACAGGGGAACTACCCAGAACAGGCACCACCCTACAATTAGACTCCGGAAAAGAGGGAATTTATATGCTTCTGGCTACTTGTAGATGTTTAATCTGCAAACATGTTATAAATATAGCTGGATTTCGGTGGAGTCAATCCCTAACTTGCTCAGCAAAGGTTTATACATAACAGGCTAAGTGAGACGCCGACTTGCTGAGGGATCAGCCATCTAATCTAACCTTAGCTAGATTGGACCTTCAAGCCACTTCCTTCATCAACCAGTATATTTATTGTTGTCTAAACACATTATCTAATAAAATATACTACTTATAGTAAAAAAGTAATAAACAAGGTTTTGCACTGTTTTAGAAATTCTCACAAAAAATTCACGTACATATATATTTATTATATATACATAGGTATGCAATATGTGCGCCGTCATAGATACACACGTAAATGGCCAGTAATGACCATAATTGTTGCAACTCTTTTATGTCATTATTGTCAATTTGCAATGCTATTTATCGCAGTACTTGCAACACCAAGCTTGTAGCGTATTTTCACAAACATACATACATACATGAGTTGCCACAAACAACGAGCCAGCAATGGTTTTTAACAGTTCCTACTCCCCAACTGGACATATTCATAAAAAACTAAATATGTTTGTGTGTGTGTGTGCGTGTGTGTTCATTTGTGTGTAAAAAGCGAATATGAGTGAATAGAAAGCAGTGACGAGAACAACAACTACAGCTTAGGCAGCATGAAAAAGCAAACGACAAAGCTCGTTGTTATGTAATCTAACTGTAAGTGGTCACTTTCTTGTATTAAACATGTTGTTGCAAAATAATATAAGTCCAAACGAATAAATATGGCTGAAACAAAAGCAAAAAAACGAAAAGCTCAATGTAAATCAATAAAAAAAATATTGAAATCAAAAAAACAAAAAAATCTGGAAGCAAAAATCATTTGAACTCAAGCAAAAAGTAAGCAAGCAATTGCTGCAGCAAAATCTCAGGCGCAAGAAATTGTTTGAAAAAACTAAAATTCACTTTTTATTGTTGGATGTCGCGCTGTCATTGTTGTTATTTTTTTTTGGTTGTTGTTACTACTCTCGCTGTTGCTGCCACGTTGACCGACTGACCAAATGTCCGCATGCACCAATTCGCCAATTGACCAGCTAGAAATAATTCAATCGCATCGCCAACATTTCGCTTGTGGCATGCAACAAGCACGCGAATGTATGTACATATACATATGTGCATTCATATTGCGGGTGTTGCACGTGTTTCTTTAGCCATAGCTTCGTGTATACAAACGTTTCGTTCGTTGACTTTTGCCCGCCACTGCATACTTCTGTGCGTGTGTGTGTGTGTCTGCAATTTTTTTTTCTTTGGTCACATCGCCGCATTTGGGCTCATGGCAACATGCTTGCGATTTTTTTTCGTTTTCGTGTATTTTGTCGCTGTTGTATTTGAGAATTTATTGTCTCCAAGATTATCCTCACCGTTGGCGCTCTCAAATGGGCGCTGTTAGTGCACTTTAAATTTATAATCTGCCCCTCCAATCAACGATCATAATTCATAACTCGAACAAGTCGCTGGTAATGTGGTCACTTATATACATACATACATACACGCATGTACATATGTATACCAATATTTATGCATAGTACTAAATTGATTTCATAGATCAATAAGGCTTTTTAATGTCGCTATATGTTGCACAGTGTATAATAGTTAACGGGTTTTTGTAATATCTAAAACGTTTCGAGTTGAATATGGATGCAGGCTTTTATACACACTTGTACATATTTCAAATTGATCAAAAGAGGAATTGATTTCCGGATATCTGTCTGTCAGACTGTCAAAAACTGATATTGCATTTGCGAAGGACCACTGCCCCATCCACAAAATAAAATCAATTAAGAATACATTAAGTGCTATGATAGACGAAGGTGGTCCAATAAGTACTTCGTATCAAAAAAAAAAGCAGAGGAAAACCATATTGTACATCCTACTCCAGTTGTTCGATATATTATAGAATGCACCTTGTGAAGCCTTTGTGGTAGCTATACCATTCTGGCCGACAGGGTAATCTTCGCACTTCTTCGGAGCAGGTTCGCCAGTTAAGTGCATTAGTTCGACTCTTCCTTGGCCTCTGGTGTATACCATGTTTCATCGGCGGTCATGAAACACTGCAGAAAGTCATTCTGATTGCGCCTAAATAGCCTCAAATACTAATTTGAAATTGTTTCACGGTACAATATTGCATGCTGGATAAGACTCACGCCCACGACCCGCTTTCATAAGAAGTCTAATAGAATCTTTGTGTCCAATGAATTTGGCAGTTGCAGCACAAAGGTGAATTCTCCTTGCGCTAGTAGCGTCATCGGACAGTGAGGCTAAGTACTAATCGTTACACAATCGTACATACATATGTATTATAAATAAGGAAATATTGAGGTTCTTTAACTCAGCTATCTACAGAAAACAAATTTAGCACAGAAGATAACCAATTCCAATTTTAACTTTTTTTCCCCTTCGTTCAAGCACGAGATTATGGTCTTAACTAAAACACATATTTTTTTTTCATTTTAGATGATCCTGTCAGGAGTTATGCAGATAACGCGGGCGCACCTTTTTTTCGAGGGGTCACCGGAAATTACATTACAATGGCGGAGTTTTGATTTTTTTTTAATTTAAATATCAGAAATTATTCTTTAAATGTGTAACTTCAAGACAGAAAAAAGTTGAATTAAATAAATAATTTTTATATTGAAAAAAAATATTGAAAATACCCGACGAAACCCATGTAACCCCTTAAGAAAAATTTTTAATTTTTAAAAATGTTACGCATACGCCCCACCATATTTTATGTGTGTTGAATAATTTTCATATTAAAATGTTCAATTTTGTGATTATTTTTAGATATTTATTAAGATTGTACGAAAATTTGTAAACACGCTGTCACGCTCTTTTTGCTAACTTTAAGACTCACATCAGAAGCGAGAGGAGAAATGCAACCACACAACTAAGTTGTAAAGTACATGTCATATGTATATGTATTGTATATCATATGTACATACCATATATAATATCACATTTGTACAATAGATTTTGTATATAACCAATTTTTTTAACACAATACAGACAACATATATTGTTTTTTAGTAGTGAATTTAACAATTTATTAGTTTTATTAAATTTTACACTTTGTGTGAAACAAATTTTAATATTTCTCAAAAATAATTATTTGACAAGAAAAAAACAATAATTCACGCTTACCATATACTTTAAAAATATTTATTCTTGTATTACAACACAAAATAAATAAATTTATATGAAACTGTAAATATTCAATAATAATAATAATAAAAATATCTATCTTTTTATACTCTCGCAACTTGTTGCTACAGAGTATAATAGTTAAATAAATAAATGTGTGTTCATTTATTTTATAAACCTACAAGTATTTTTGTTGGTATGTTGTAATAAAATTTGCAAACAAACCAACTTAAATCACCACTCTAAATCACCTGCCTAATCTACCAGCGCCTTCATTCCACTCAGTGTTTGTTGTTATTGCAGCTAACATTGTAAAAAAATATCACGAAATCAGCAAACTCGCATTTTACCAGGTGAACAGCAACATAAAGAAAGTCACCCAACTACATTTTGTGCGGCGCAAAATCATCGTGGTTCGTGTCTTTGCTAAATTTAAATCTGTTGTGCACCCTGTGGTGTGTAAGCAAAATGCGCTCGGTGAGCAAACTTGCATTGTACCAGGCAAACAGGAGCGCAAAGGAGGTCACCTAGCAAATATGCAAGCTTTATGTATTTGCTAAAACAGGCGGCGTTTGTTATTCTGAAAAAAAATCCTTTGCTATTTTTACTTATTTATTTAAAATTTATAATTTATTTACATAAAAAGTATTGTAATTGTTCATTTTAAATTTTTATTACAAACGGTAAGCGAAAAAAATCATATTTTAAATGATAATTCAAATTTTATTGTAACTCCAATTATTATTTTTTTATACTACAATATATAATTTTTTAGACTAAAATTATAAATTCCGATTAATAAAAATCTTTAGAACTGGTTCACACAATTCATGTATTAGTGTCTTTTAGTTACCAGGCCAAGCAGACAGCTAGGCTAATCTGTAGGTGACTCACACAAATTTTGTACAGCTGAATCATCCTGAATGGTTTTTGCCTTTGCTAAATTCCTTCTTGTGTGCGCTCAGTATACATTGTTTTTTTTTGCAACGGATTTGTTTTCACCAAAACACGTTGTTGTTATTGTTTTATAGTGCAACAAAAAAACGCCATTGTTGATGCTTTTAATTTAATATTACTAGAAGTATAGATTTGTAATAGCTATAATTTCAATAAACAGATACAACTAACTAACTAAGTATTAATTATGTTTTATTCAATATTGATATACATACATATGCATTTAATTGTTTTCTCTTGGACATGTGCATATGTTTATAGCAGATGTTTTCATATTCACTCTATTCACGCGCGATGATGTTGCAATATTTAGGTAAAATGTTTCACACTTTATGATCATATTTTATTTCTTTAATTCCTGCCAATAGGTGTTTCCCACAATAATCGAGGTCGAGTATCAGAAGTAATTTTCCACTTATTGCATACTTCTTCAATCTCTCACACTTTCGCAACCTTTACTTCGTACTGCATGTAAAACTAGTTACAATCGTTTGTTTCAGAGTTGCTTCCCCTTGTCGAATTTCTTTAATAAAAATAACCAATAATATTTTTTTATGCACTGCACTATCAACTTGCAACTTGCATTTTCTTTTCATGTCGGCTTTTTTTTACTTTCAGCCTCCTTACAGACAAATCAATTCACGTGTTTATTAAACTCTCATTCTACCAGGCGAACAGAAATGCAGGGAATGTGGCTCGGCCAATGTTTTTTCTTGCCATGTCATGCAAATACATATAAAATAATACATTTAATATTCGGTTTGCGCCTTTGCTAAATTTTTTTTGCACCCTTTGTTAACTTCAATATGATTGGATGTCGTCGGTAAATATATGTATGTAGTTAATTGCAATGCCAAAATATATTAAATTAAAAAAATAAAAAAGCAATTATCTCTTATAACACAACTTAGTAGTACAATTGCCAAGTATATAAATAAGTATACCAACCGTTCGTACATGCATTGTATGCACGATTTATTGGAAATGGTGCACATAATTTATTTTCTAATTCAAATTTCTACTTTGTTTGCCGCCTAATTATGACTGGTAACTTTAATTTAATTTTATGCAGAAATTCGATTTTATTTATATTGGCTACCTGGATGAAACTTTGCGCGTCCACCTACGGTCTAGTGTTGTTTTGTTTTCGCTAAGGTGTCGCCAAGAGCCTAAAATCCAATGTTAAAAAAAATGCGAAAAATTCTGCGCTGCTCCAGAAAAAATCAAAGCGTCGTCATGGGCAAAAGCGTTACTGCCGTCAACTGTCAACTCATATTTGGTATTATGTTTATGTTGCTGCACAAACAACATTGCACTATTTTAGGAATACTTGTAGCTTCAAACGCTGAACACGATCATTTCACGTACATACTTTTATTTGTAGTTTTTCTGCAAGATCTATAATTTAGTAACAACTGTGCGCATTTAACGATATATTCATACATATTGTGCACTTATTCTGTTAGCCATAGATAAATTGTGTTATATGTTCGTTGAATGAGATTAGCAGCCATAGCAGAGTACATACAATTCTTCCACGTTCTCTGGCCATAGACTGATGGAAATTGAAATTATTTTGGCTGTATTTTGTATGTACTCGCTGTGCACGTAAATTTTTAAACATGTAAAATTCGTGCAATTTTTATGATCGAATTAAATATTAGTAACCGTGTAATTATGACAAAATGTTAGTGGTAGGAGATGTCACAATCGCTGTTTGTAATGATAGGATAACGTCAAATATAGTAGTTTTGTCAGTTGAAATATGGGTAGTTGTTATCATAAGGAATGTAAACATACTTTGCATTTTGATTGGAAATTATTTAAAGATATAATTAAAATTTTTAATATAATAATTAGCTTTCGACTACATTTACATAAAATAAAGGTTTATGTTAGAAATGTTACTTAATTTTAGTTGGTATTTATTTAATTTAATTGTAAAAAGTAAGGTTATCTCTTTTCTAATTAGGTTATTTATATACATATTCATTATTTTATAGTTTATTTGTGATATATTTTTTGGGGGTTTAGATGCATGCATGTAACACAAATATCTTTTGGTACATTGGTCACCCTGTAAATCATCACGACACCACACACAGATGTCGCGCGAACTATCAGCGTCAGCTGTTTGCGCCACGCAACGTTTTTTTGCACGCGAGTGTTGTGTATAAAATCATTTAGTAAATAAAAGAAGTCTTCGCAGTAAATAAAGTGATGAGTGAATTAAATAGTGAAGAAGATGCCTTTTTCGACGATCTAATAGAAGATGAGAATGCTGATAACGAATCCTTACCAAACTTTGCATTTCCAAATCTCAAAGGTATTGCGAAATTAAAATGTTATACGTGCTTCTTTACACCTTACAAGCTCGTCACATTAACAGGTGATCCTGATTTGCTGTGTGAATTTAATACTAACGATGAGAATACAATTAGTACTAATGAATATTTGGACCAAGCCATCATAAGTAATTTGAGCACATTGGAATTCAAATGGAATAGTGAATGCTTGGTAAAACATTAAATATATGCGAATGTATGAGCAATATTTACATTTTTCCGTATATGTACATAGATTTGTACGGAGCAGTTTGAGGAGTACGATGAATTGCTGAAGCACTGCAAACAATTCCATATAAATGAGTTCGATGAGTATACGTGCACTGTCGGAGATTGTGATGAGCTAATTGTAGATGAGGATTCACTCGCCAGGCACTTGGTATTAAGACACAGTGATTTACACGGGTAATTAAAAAAATATACAAATATTTTCAGAATGATATGTGGTTATATTCACTGACTGGTTGCATTCTAAGTAATATGTGTTTATAATTGTTTTTAGTATAAAAATATATGGCAGCTGCCCTTTTTGCAATCTACGTTTTTCAAACTTTAATGAGCTTAATAAACATTCATGCTATCGTAAAATAAATAGAAAGGCTTGCACACAGCCTTACTGCCAATATTGTAAGGAGGAGTTTGTCTCGCATAAAAGGTGAAAATTTCTTATTTATATCAATAACTTTCGTCATTTGAAATGTGAATTTGTCTATTCAAGATTCCTATTTCATCTGCAATTTCATTTGGCTAAGCGGCGAGCCAAGGTTTGCATGATATGCAACACCGAATTTTCTGATGTGGAAGACTTTTTCCTACATGTAAATTATGAGCACGAATCACTGGATAAGTTGGCATGTAAAATGTAAGCACTAAATACTTGAACCTCTAGGTACAATATATTATGAGAACATAAAATAAATGCTTTCTACAACAGCTGCGATCGCGTTTTTGCTGATTTGGAAACATACAGCGCACATGAAAATATGCACAAATTAAATCCGAAATACAAATGTGATGAATGTAGCAAAGTTTATCATAATAAGAAATTACTACTAAAACATAAGGTTGGTGAGAAATACATAGATAAACCGCGCTTAACATTTTCTAACTTTATTTCTAGACTAATTTGCATTCTGCGATTGAGTATAAATGTGACTTATGTCCGAAAGTATTTCCAAGTTTCTCAATTTTACAAAACCACTTAAAGTGGCATAACATGGAAGCCGAAGTCCACGTCTACACTTGCACTAACTGTGGCTTGCTTGCCGGTGATTATGGCAGACTACAGGCATGCAAAATTTTGTATATACTTTTAGTGAAATTATAGTTTCATTTTTTGCTTACATTTTAGAAACATACTTCAGATTGCTCATCTGAGTGCTTCGAATGCGAAATTGAAGATGAAATATTGACAGCGGCTTACAGCTGTCATTATTGCGCACAAGATTTCAAGGATAAAGATTCGCTCAGCAAGCATCGCGCTACGGGCGTGCATAAAAATGAGAAATTCATTTGTCCCATTTGCAATGAAGAGATCGACAGCGTAAAAGCAAAGCGTCTGCATATGTATACGCATAAAGATTATAAAAATTTTCTAGAAAATCTACCACTTAAGCGATTGCTAATGTGTGATGTGGGCGTAAGTTAAAGAAATTCACAAAATGTCTACATTTTAAGCAAGTTTTTTTTTTGCATATTTATAGGATTGTGAAGAATGCTACAATGACTGGGCTGCCTTGCAGCGGCACAAAACGCGCATACACAAATCAAATACATGTACAAAATGCAAACAAAAACTAGCTAATGCAGCGGAACTGGCAAAACACATGAAGCAATGCGAAACGACTGCATTGACATGTCAGTTTTGTGATAAAGTATGCCCGACAAAAATGTCACTGGCTGTGCATGTAGCTAGAAGACATAATAATAGTACGTAATATTGTAGAAAATTAATTCTTCACAATTTTTGTAAAAAAAAAAATATTATAATTGCAGAAAATATTGTCTGTCCACATTGCTCCGTTGGCTATAAAGATGAGCAAACACTACAACAACACATAGATTATTCACACGTGCCTGTGCCTTGTACAAATTGCGAAAAAGTGATCAACTGCAAACGTAATTTGGAGATTCATATGCGTGTGGTGCATGAGACTGAAACCAGATATTTCTGCACGCATTGTAATAAAGGATTCTATCATCGCTCACAGCGTGATCTGCATGAAGAGAGTGTAAATATGTTGTTGTATGGCATTGTTTATGCTTAAATATTGATTAGAATTGTTTGCCGTATTTACAGGTGCATCCAGACTCGGTCTACAAATGCGGTCAATGTAATTTTAAAACAAAATATGCTAAGTCGCTGGAAATACACATAGCGAAGCATTTGCAAAAGCTGGAGTTTAAGTGTCCGCACTGTGATAAAACATTTGGCCGCAAAAACACGCTCACATTACACATCAAGCGGCATAAAAATGATAAGCCGTAAGTTAATTTCATTAAAAATATTTTACAAATATTGCTACAAGCTGCATACGAAATATATTATTTTTCTTCGTGCAGTTTTAGATGCTTCGATACTATTGTTGATGGCTGCGATGCAGCTTTCATCACACGTCCGCTATTAAATAATCACATCAAAAGCAAACATTCCATACAGCAGCGTAAAACTATGAATGCCAGCCAACCAAAGCGTAGACTTGGAACGCAAAGAAAGTCGATTACAAATAAAAATGTAACGCAGATTGCAGTTAATTCCTTTGAAAATAGTGCATTGCTTCAAATCAACTCAAGTGGGACAGTGTTGGCAGCAGAAAGCAGCTTTGCCGATGTTGCCGGGTTGTCACACGCAGTTGATGAGAATTATATGTTGCTCGTGGTGAATGATGAGGCACTGGAAATGGTCGCTGATGCAAGTGAGCAACTGTTGGCACTGGACGCCGCAGATATTTTAGCAAGTTGAAGATTTTCTTATGCACGTCACTGCTTGGCTGCGATATGAATTACATATTTATGTATACAAATTTATCTACACACAATTTACATTGTAAATGTTCTCATTTTTTGTTTGGTCATCTGTAAATTGTTTTAATAAACAACTATTTTGCATTTGAAATTACAACCAACGTCTATGCTAGTTTTTATTACTTGCAAGCACAGTGCGGCTGAATTTATAAATATCTCCGATGCACAATTCTTACGCCAAAGTGCATTTATTTCTTAATTGTTCGTAAGTTAAACAATATGGACCGATTTTTTTTTTTTTTTTTGATATCTGCTTTTGATGTAAAAACCACTACAACAACAAACTACATGTGTAAATAAATATTATATTGTATATATATGTATATTGTACGTACATATGCCTTTGTGCCGTTGTATAATGAATTTGTATAGATATTGCATTTATAATTTGTTAAAACACATACACACATACACACTACAAGTAACTGTACTCAGACTACAAATAATTAATTGAGCGCAATCACGTCAATTTGACTGCACTTTTACATGGTTTCAAGCATTAAATTTTAATGTAATTAACAACAGAGCATTTGCAAGAAGAATGGGCGTATTCCCGTTTAGAATCTTATATTCGTAGTTGTTGTGTAAATATAAGTATGTATGAATTAAAATTGTCTACGTTAATTTGTCTTTTTTGACTTTTTGGCTTGTTTGGTTTTCAATTTCTCCTTCTTCTTCAATTCCTTCTCCATCAGCGACTTGTACAGTTTGTAGCCGAAGAGTGCTGCAAAAAATACAAAAGAAAAACAAAAACAAAATTAATCATTGAAAGTTCCATTTAATTTATTAAATACATACAACATAAAACAAAAATTACTGTTTCGATTATGTAATAATCTCAATGAAACAACCGAATTTATATGGAGAACACTATACCGTTTATCATATATCACCATCGCATGGAAAACCAAATTATATTTGGCCTATCTGTACCTCCACATAAAAATCTTCCATATCGAATTTATTTAAAACAAAATTAATTATATAAAAAAAAAAATAGAAATGTACTTTTTATACTAACACCCATTTGCCGATTTATCAATGCGTATCACCTTTGTTACAAACAGATCTTTCCAGAACGTAAACTATAAAAATCATAACGCTACCAGAGCTCATTTGGTTCGAATTTTGTGAATATAAGCCAAGTTTGTAAAAAGTTGCCTCTTTGAGGATTGCATAGCAGATTTTCGACAAAAAGAGTAAAAAAAAATTTTAATCTCAAATACCGGATACAAAATTAAAATAGAAATTTTATTTGTTATTTGGGATTAAAAATTTATTTAAAATTAACATTAAATTTATTGAAAAATAAAACAAAAATTAATAAACCCAAGCATATAATTAAAAATTAAATAAAGAAATTCTTTTAGAATTCACATTATAAAGCGTTTGCGTACTTCGTTTTTACAATTTTGACTATCTTTTGAAATGGAAAGCTTATTTTTAATAAAAAATCCTGTGTCAGGGGTTGCAAACCAATTCTGATTTTCAATGGTGTCACAGAATCTGATTGGATTTTCGTCTATTCGAACATATGCAAGACCAATATCAATCGAATCAGCTGTTTACTAATGTGACAAAACTTGCAAATGAATAAATTTGGAAGCTTTTCATAAATTTGAAATACCGAATAAAGTCTACTAAAGTTTACAATGAGTTCTGCTATTTTAGCTTTTATTTTATTGGAAGAAAACAGCAACGAAAAAATTAAAAGGAAGATATTAAGAGATAACAGTACTCCACTTGCACCAGGAGACCCACATGTGAAATTTGGCTTGCAATTACTTGTATGTTTGTGTAGATGCTTACTTTACAGATTTATATCACATTATCGACTGAATAAACACTCATTTAGGTGTTAATTTACGTTTGTTACGTTTTGTAAATCCTCTTAAAATATCTGGATTTTTCCATAAACTTAATAATTATGACATTTCGTGTTTTATTCTTATGTTTTCCCCTATAGAAATAAAGATAAATTAAATCGTAACAATAATATAAACTAATTTCCTAACTTACAATTCAAATCTGTCAACGACTATCCGCTTGCTTTGTTTCTGATAACAAAACCGATGCAACTTCTGTTTCGAATGTCAAGCCAATAATATCTGAATTCATGACACCTACCTACATTTTTTTGTATCGGTTTCAATTTGGATTCCGACAACTATCAGATTGTACAACACCCTGACAAGCTTAGCTCGTTTCGTCTTATTTATATTTAATTGCTTTTAATTATAGTATTTCAGTTAGAAATATGTAAATATTTCCTATTAATTTGAAAAATATTTTTTTCTTCGTTCCTTCAATCTAAACTAAAAAATATTATTTCAATTTTTAATCCAAGATGTTTAATTTTAAAAATTAAATTTTCTAATTAAAAATTAAATTTAAATTTAAATTTTCTAATTTTTAATATCAAATTTAAAAAACAATTTAAAATTTTTTATTCTGATGAAATTTTCAATTTTATGTCCAACATCTAAAATTCCAGAAATTTTGTGTAATCCAATAAAATACTTTCACCTTAATAACATTACCTAATTTTGTATTCGGAAATGTAATAAATAAATACATAGGATGCGACTCTCAAATAATATTAACAAGACAGTTATCAGTCAGCATTTCCTTCAAACAAATAACAATACTAGCTATCAGACAACCCTTAAATTGAGTCAATTAGCAATTTTACATTAAGAATTACCAAATGTTGTTTGGTTTTGTTGTTGTCAGCTGAAGTCTACGATTTGTGGTAGATCTTGGCGAATGGCGTATCGAAAAAGCTAGTATAAATTGAATAAACTGGCATAATAAAATAGAGTTAGAACAGGAAGCCTGGCAATACTGCAATGAATTCTTTGAATAACATTGGAATCGATAGTATAGCTAACTTTGTTGTTGTTTTCACTTGTAAATTTTTAAAATAAGTTGGACAAAGTTGCGGTAAATTGAACTTGACTTGAATTTAGAGAAGGTCTAAAATTTTTGTGAAGATATCTCGACAAATAAAAAAGTTTTTCATGCAAGGATTGGAGTTTGATCGATCATTATATATGAAAGCTATACGCTATAGTAGTCCGATCTGGTCTTGGATAATAATTTGTGCCAAATTTCGTGAAGAAACCTTGCCAAATTAAATAGTTTTCCATATAAGGGCTTAAGTTTTATTGGTCAGTTTGTATGGCACGCTATACACTTGTAGTGGACCGATATTGGCGGATCCGACAAAAGATCAGCGACTTGGAGAGAAAAAGACGAGTGTAAAATTTCATATAGATATCTCAAAATCCGAGGGACCAGTTCGCGTATATACAGACAGACGGACGGACAGACAGATATGGCTAAATCGATTCAACTCGTCACGGTGATCATTTATAATATATGTAAGTGCATATACATTTTATACGGTCCCCAACGTTTTCCACTGAGTGTTACAAACTGCGTTGCAAGCTTAATATACCTTTTTCAGGGTATAAAAAATAATTATTTGCGATTAGCGTGAAGGCCAACTTTGATTTAAACCAAACTAAGATTGTCATTTTTTTTTAAGTACAGAGACCGCACTATCTCTGCCACATACAATATATGTATACACACATATGGTACAAACGTATGAATATGAATGTACATATATTTATAAGTCCAATATTTGAACTTAATTAAGCACACACAAATAATTAGATTGTTACTTCAAAATAAACACTAATAAACAAACATTTAATAAGAGATAATTATTTACAGAAATATTCTGGGAAAATATTGATTTACAGAAAGTATTTTACTGGTTAACAGCATCTACACAAATTAGAAACTTCAAAACATGGTTAAATACCAAATGTCAAGGCAAGAAACGGAAAGTAACTTATAAAGCCGTTAGACAACTTTCTTTTTTAACGTGCTGCGTTATGCGTGCACGTCGAAATATAAAGAAAACACACAAAAAATTTAATTATTTCGGCTAACTTCTGGTCGCAAGCTAAAAAACAGTTGTTTGAAGAGTGGCAACTGACAAAAGGTTTCAAGAGCAATTAGACAGGTATAAGAAAAAAAGGTCCAATAAGAGTGCATCTATAGCGACGCTTTTTTTTTCATTATTACTTTATGAATATTAAACTTTCACTATAATTATTATTTTGCAACACAATGACATGGAAAATATTTTATCATTTTCAATATCTAATAATAGATATAAATAAATTTCGATCAAACCACGTTGTAGCGGCGTGTAAGCACTTGTTTGCGCCAAGCCCGTGAAGCGCAAAACTACAAAATGCACACACAAACATGCGTATATAAACACTTAAGCAATAAATAATTAACCTTTGCACCACAAATATTCGATTTTCAATGCTACACACGCAACTAGTTCTAAAATGAATTTCAAAACTTCGCGCACAGCTATCAACACAAGCATACTTATATGTAATAATAATAAAAAATATTGAAAAAAATGAATACAAAACTCGCAACACACCAAACACCAAAAGCACCGTGAATAACAAAGCCGCCACAATGGAGTAATTGTAGACTTGTTGAAAATTCGTATATTGCATTAGCTTTTGCTCGGCATGCTCGATGGTGTTGCGCAGCGTATCCTTAGCATTGTGCAAAAACTCGACACGTTCCTGACCGGATAGTGACTCGACCTTCTTCTGCAACGCGTGAATTTTATCGAGCAACCGTTGTGCATAACTGTTATCACCGCCAATTCGATGTATGATCGATTGTACGGTGCTTCGCAGTTGATCGATTATGTGAAGGTGTTCGCCGCCGCCGGTTGCCATAACCGTAAGAACATATATACATATGTATGTATGTTTGCACCCGCCGAGTCTGCTTGTGTTACTTATGGTATGTGTTTGTATGTATGTAATGCAGGTTTGTGCACACCAGCGCGCAGCGTTAAAAGCCCAATAATTGTTTTGTACGAATGTGCTAAGTGACGGCGTTCAACTGCCAACAAATGTGAGTGCAACAAGCGGATAGACCGTCGTCCGCTAGCTGCGTTTGAGTACTGGGAGCACGCGAGCGAACATGTGTATTTGGCTAGGCGCACTACGAACGGCGTTGGGGAAGTAGCAAAACAAAAAAAATATACCGAAAGATAGCCGCTTGGAAGTTGGCGCTCAGCGTTATTGTTCTGTGTGTGTACATATGTACATACATATGTATGGATGTATGTGGATGTGTAAGATTTTCTATTTTAACTTTGCTCTATTTATTTTATACGAATTCGGTACTCGCTCGAATCTTATCGGACACCCTGATGATTCGTTGAGGAAACTTCAGTTTCCACATGTGCTTGCAGCAAAATAGTAGCTATATGGTAAACTATTATGTCAATACGGTTTATTGAACATATGAGTAGAAATGTATGTATGTTACATATATATATATGTAAAAAGTTTGCCCTATTGAAATTGTTAATAGGTAAAGATAATAGAGAGCTGAAAATGTAATCACTTATGAAATAGGTATGTAGGAAAAACCAAAAAATCACAAAGAATACGAGCCATGTCGATACAATCAAGCTGTAGCTTGATAAGTACATATATAGCTTCGAAGAAGATATCGGAATAAAAGTTTGTACAAATAGTGCATTTAAGGTATGGCATCTCACGTAAAAAATTTTTCGAAATCGGAATATATATTTTCAAGCTCCCAGATACCGAATATGTGGATCCCAGTGTCTAAGGATGACATTTTACCGAACATATCCTTCAATCTGTGAGATGTATTATTGAAATTCAGAGATAATATTTTCCTGATGATAACTTGCGCTGTGTGACAAAAATGAAAAAACTTGGTCAAGACCTCCCCATACATTGTACTAAATATAATAATTTCATACTTCCAGTTGGTTTTATACCGTATATATCGGTCAGGATGTAAGATTTCTTAGTAAAATTAAATTAATGTATAATATTGGAAGTATTATAGTCTAAATGCTAAAAATATATGAAATCGGTCGATGAAATACCACAGATCCCATGTATTACTTGTATATATAATGTTTTTTGTTCTTATAGAAAACTTTACGCCAATATGCTGGTCAGTGAGTAAAATAGCGTGGAAACATGTTTTCGAGTAAACTCGAGTAATGCCAAAAGTTAAATCGAACAGTCCAGATTTTCCCCTAGTCCCCCTATATAGTGATTTCTGACTTTCTAGCTGACCTTAAATCCGATATAGTGATGAAAACGTTTAAGTCGGTAAATTTGTGTGATATTTTATTGAAATTGAATGGATATCATTTTATAAATTTTCTGATTGAGCGCTGATAATGAACGAAACTAGAACTTAATATAAACTCGATATTCTTAATTAAATAATTTCTGATTCTTTGTTTGATTTTTTCCCCAATATTAAATTCTAGGCCTTTGGTTGAGTTTAAATCACAAACCTTTCTTTTAATTTAATTAGGTTGAGTCTCGAATACATGTACAACATTTTAATTGTAAAGCTGGTCAACATCTGAAAATATCGCACCGCTTTTGAACAACAAGAAAAATTTTTACTTCGGCTGCATCGAAGCAAGAATACCCTTTACTGGTGCATTTCTTATAGCATAAAAGAGTATAAAAAGATCTTTATGTTGATTTTGATCGGTCAGTTTGTATGGCAGCTATATGCTATAGTGGTCCGTTATTGGCGGTTCCAACAAATCAGCAACTTCTTTGGGAGAAAGGAACGTGTGCAAAATTTTAGATGGATATCTCAAAAACTCCATAGTTCACGTATATTCAGACGGACGGACCGACGCACATCGACTTAGCTCGTCATGCTTATCATTCATATATATTTTATAGGGTCTACATTTCCTTTTGAGTGTTACAAACTTTGTGGCAAACTTAATATATTCTGTTCAGGCTATAAAAAAAAGTTTTCGAAGTTGAGTATTGCATTTTAACATATGCATAATAAAAACCCCGAAACGAAGGGTGATTTTAATTCCTGCGTTTCCATTACAGTCTGGTCTACGTATCCGAGCAGAACCGAATTTTTATCCGGCCACGGTTTTTTAAATTGGCAGCATTACCTAAAACTATTCTAAAAATGTTTCTATCGCTTTGATTATTTTAAAGATTTTACACTTAGAGAGAATTATTAACTGATGTTATCGATTGCAAAACGATCGACTTTTGAGTGGCAAATCAGTGACAAAGGTGTTAATTGATACTCAGAGTAGTTGTTTAGTTATGTTGATCGACCTGGATCGTATTTAAAGTATTTAAATAAACTATGTTACTAGGAAATACTAATTATAAAGACAATTATCATTATTCTAGCTAATATGAATTAGTTAATGTAGATTTAATATTCAATGTCACACCCCACTTTTCCTCGAACACTCTTTCCAAATTAAGCAGAACATTAAACTAATATTATTGATACATAGTAAAAGTTTTCGCGTATTATAAACAATAACAAAGATACATATGTATGTAGGTTCAATTAAATGACAGTGCCAACATTTTAACTCATTTTAAAACCACTCTCTTGCTGCTTACCAAATAGAAGCACAATAATCGCAATCATTGCAAAGAATATTGCATAATCCCAAGAGGAATGTACGGGTCCAGGTTGAGCATAGCGACGCATAAAATCCTCAGCGGTGCCCTCTTGTGGATTATAAAGATTCTCCTTAAGATTGGCCTTCTCCTCATCGCTTATACCGTCCATTTGTTCGATTAACTTCCAAACCTCATCCACACTGGGCATCTTAAAATCGCCATTGGGATCACCGAGATTTCCATAGGGATCACCAGAACCAGCGGCAAGTGCCGCCACGTCATCGGCGAATTGTTGTTGATTTACTGGATCATTAGCCATTGTCAGCAAAGTAATTGGCTGTCTGTCAAATGTATTTGTTTGTTTGTTTACTTGTTGCTTTGGTTATGTTCGTTCACTTTGGCACGCGAAACACTTGTTCAGAATTTAACTGGCGCTTTAACGAAATTCTAATGCAATTTGCAATGTTGTTATTTTGAAAACGTTAATATATTGTTATGCAATAGTTGGAGTATATTTATATTGTTGTAATATGGTAACAATATAATATCAAAATGGAGCAGGATGCTTGCAGAGAGGGAATGAATGCAAATTAAAGAAACTTGACAACAACAAAAATCAAAAGGGCCTTGGCAGTAAATTTGTCATGGCTAATATTACAAAAAAAAAAAAACATTTATTTGTCGGCTTACATTTAATAGGGAATATTTTAAATTTAAAATAAATTTATTTATATCTAATATAAACGATCACAGATAGAATTAATGCATTTGAAAATATGATGTTATATATTTCATTACAATATATGTAAATTAAAAAAATGTTTTGCAACAAGGAAGTTGTCTCACTCTCTGGACTCTTAGTAAATAGCAAAAACTTTGAAATGTTCTATTAAAACATGTAAATCTCTATTTTAACTAAAATTTCGATGGAAAATAAAATACCATTAAGTTTTAAATCTTTTGACTGATAAACTATTATGCTTTATAGAAAAAAATTCTAACCAAAAAAGTGTATTTATAGCCAACCCATCTTCTACATAATAGGAAAATATGAACTCATATTTTTCTACTACCACAACTACTTCACATGTTTTACCGTTCCCACAGTAGTCGGGTTTAGTTAACCGGAACGGACCCGATTTTTAACCCGTCAAGGACTGTCTACTCGTCACCATTCCTCGATATTACTTCAGGAATGTTATGCTACGCTACAACAACTTCTTACTTTACGATTTCCGCATCATTTAACATCATTGGACGTAAAATTGGATAAGCCAAAATAAATAGGTTAGCAGAGCAAATCAATATATATTTTTTTTAATGTTAATAAATTATATAAATTGTTAATTATTTACTAGTTTTTTTTAAATAACAAAATATGACGTATACATATTTATATACATACATAATATATTTTTTTCTTTTGCAACAATTTGTAAACATGCATTTTAAAAAAGTGTTTTAAGTCACTACAGCAATATTTTAAACTTTAGAGCTTAACTACTTTCCAATTTATTAGAGCTTTAGCAAAATATGCAAGGTAGAAAAATACCAAAATTTTGAAGCATTTTAACTTAACAATAGCTGGCATCACTGCACATCAGCTATTATTATACACTAGAGATAAAGTTAAAACAGGCCAGCCAAGTTCAAGTGGCAACTTAAGCAATATGCTATAATAAGCAGTCGTGGCCGAGTGGTTAAGGCGTCTGACTCGAAATCAGATTCCCTCTGGGAGCGTAGGTTCGAATCCTACCGGCTGCGAAAATCTTTTTGTTTATTTTTTAAGGAACATTTTTTTAATTGAAACCTTATAAATTGTTGAACTTATTTTAAATTTAATATGCAAAAATTTTTATTTTAAATAAATGTACTTTGGTTTTGAATCCATTTATTGAGGTAATGGAGTTATCTACATATGTACAAAAGTTTTGTAAACTATGTTAACAGATTACTGAGTTTCACTCCCTCTACACATTATATATCACTGCTCATCAATTACCACGTTTGTAAACAAATGCAAAATTATTTAATACGTTTTCAATATACATATAATAACACTTTAAATATTATTCAAATTAATTAGCCAATTAGAACTTTACATTCGCAGCCACGTTGTAGTCCACTAAATTAGGTACTGATATTTTTTAACAGCATTGTGGTCAATAGGAGTACACAGTGTAGGCATATCAATGTTTAGTAGATATTTAAATCATAAATACTAAATTCAAGAGTTTGTGTGTTAGCAGTCTATAGAAAAAATGCTAATCTACACAAAATAAATAAGCTCTGATTTTTTGTGCAGACTTTTTGACAACGTCAGCATTTTTTGACCACGAACACCTATTCAATGGTCAGCAAAAAAAAAAAATTTAATAAATAATACATACATATGTGGTGTATAAAATATATGTGAATATGTATGTTTATACACATTAGACACATACATACATACATAGGTATCTGAAGGAATACTATTGAAAAATGATAAGATAGGAAAAGCTGACTTTGTGTATTTAAAGTAAGAGCACTAACTGCCGGCGCAACTTTATCAGCTAGAGTATTTTATAGATTTGTTTGGATGTACATTAATTTTAACATGCATGCACTTATCAAATCATGTAAATAGAATGTGAGTATATGAAAATTATTTAAAATAACATATAGATAACACCAAAGAGTACGTGGAATTTAAAAAATAATTGATATTTCTATGTCTTGAAGATACATATGTATATGTGAGCATTGTGGATAGTCTTGTTTGAACCATATAATTCAAGAAACAGAAAGAATACAAATTGAAGGTTTTGTTTATGTTTCTGACAATTAAAGTACTATGTATAGTCAGAGAATGTTGATGAATAATTTTAGGTAAATAATCTATCTTTCTTGGAAAAAAGAAAGCAACCGGTTTGCTGCACAAATACAATCCTTAGCGATAATTTTTTTGTTTTGATAGAATAACAACAGGTGAAACATTTTTGAGGAAATTCTAAACAAATAAATAACTTAGCATTAGACACATGATAGCCGGCTAATATTGCATGCAAGTTTACCTTTACTAGAATATATTGACAATATTTGAACTCTCACTTACCAGCTAGTCCAAATACAACAACAGCCGGTACATAAAATGCCAGATTGGGAATGCTTTGTTGGAATGGTGATGATGAACCAGTTAAATCAACCATTTTTTACTCAATTAATTTTCAAAGAAAAAATAACTATATAAATTAATTTAAACTGTGAAGACGAAAAGTCAGCCGAAACTTCGTTTGTAAATCGAATTGGAGTCTGTGATCTTCTGACAGCAAACAAATATGAATTAAAATGATATTCACAATGAAATATTGTTACGATTAAAAGTCGATAGGTTTTTGAGTAAATTAAGAACATAAAATTAATTTCTAAATAACATCTTATTCTGTGTTACATGCTATGAATATTTCTTTCATTGGTTATGTTATGTAAAAAATTTTGAGTTTGTTTATTGGTTCGGTGTCAATTATCTTCATTTTTAATATATGAGTAAATTGGCATTTATGAACCAAAAAAATTTGAAGATGTCAATCATATTTTATGTTACAATTTTATTTTACATTTAATATTTTATTAATAACTAATTAAGTATATTTAAAGTAGATATATTCATTAATTTATTTATTTCACACGTGAAATACGAACTATTCACAATAATTTAAATAAATCGATTGCTTTTATGATTCCGTCATTCCTTTAGTTTGACAGCCACATTAATTTTGACAACAGCTGGTACTTGACAACTTTCTGTGTGAGTGCACGAATCGAGTTTTGCGAGTCGATTGGAAAACTTTTAAATAATTTCGAAATAATGAAGGCTATCTACAACACTTTATTCAAAAGGACTTCCACATATGCCGTAGGAATAATGGCATCAGTGTTCTTCTTTGAACGCGCTTTTGAAGTGGGGTCCACACAACTTTTCGAGTCCGTCAATAAAGGAGTAAGTTGCAATTTGTTTCCATCTGTCCAATTATGTAAGAACATATTTGACAATCTAATTTATTCACTATTATTTTAGAAACTGTGGAAGGATATCAAGGGTAAATACGAATAAGCTAAGATACTTCAAGTGGCTTTTGGTACATTGTAACCGGGAATACTTCTTGCTATCAATGAATTAAAAACAAACATTCAATTAGAATAAATTTAACATTTATTGTTAAACAAAAACGAAAAAACAAATTAATTATTTATTAGGTGTCTCCCCCGTCTTTGCCTGTTGAGCCGGTTTTAGGTTATCTTCTAATACTTCCCATGGCTTTTCATGCCGCACAGCATCCCATGGCAATGGCGCATCGTATCGTTCTGGTTCTTGCAACTTAACGCCATTTTCTTCCAATGTTTTTAGAAACTTGTCGACTTTACCTCCGGCAACTGCGTCAATATTGCAGGCAATTTCAGTAATGCCTGACTGGAGGCATCTCATTGCCAGCACTCGAGCAAGATTCAAAAAGGCAGGTGTATCTGTGGTTTTGTAAAGATGCTTTTTAATTGCCCATTCCGATGTGCTCGCACCGACAATAGGACCATTTTGAAAATGCCTCACTTCTGCAGTTACGTAACGTCCACTTACAGTCAACTCCAATTTATGCCAAAACGAACGTCCAGGTTTTTCCAAAAAATAACCATTGGGTTTATGTGCAATACGCAATCTCTCCAGATTTCTTGGATTTCGATTTATTAAAACCGGTTCACCCGTGGGTTGGCTGATTTCCTTGATTTTACGCAAAACGCGTGAGGATCTTAGTGGTTGAAAGTGGCCAGACATAGTCGAAGTGACAAATTAATTCAATAATTAATAAATTGTTAGTTTTTGAAAAAACAATATTCTGGTTACGAAAAATATTGAATGTTGACTTCTTCAAAGATGTGCTACTAATAATCTCCGCTGACAGTTTGTAAGAACAAATGCGCCGGCATTTTTTATGTAAATTCACCGACGTTGGAAAATTTCAAAATTTTTTTAACAGCGTATTCCACTTTGGCGTGTTCCACGATATGATATATTAGAGTCTGTATTAATTATATATGTAATTTTCTTCTTTTCAGCTTATTAGATTAGCTATTATTTCAGTTTAAAATTGTTAATTAATTATTGTGCGATTTTGTCGCATAACTATTCACCGCGCAATTCATCCGTTCACAAATAATTCACAATGAAAAAGTAAATATTTACGAATATCTAAAGGATAAAGGGAAAACATAAAAGCAAATGTCAAAAGCGCTTAAATAATAAATAATTTTAATTAACTTTCGCAAAATTAAGGCATGCGCTAAAACAGGAGACATTTGAAGAACCTGTGTTAACCATTGCCTATAATCGCATTGGGCACTTTGGTGGTTTGGTGTGGATATATTGGAAACATTTTGCCTTATAGTATTATTAGAAGAGTTTGGTGTTAGAAAACGCGGTACATATCAATAATAATGTTGTTGTCTGTGGTTGGATTAAATTTGTGTGGCCGAATGCGGCTCCTAAACCGTGGGAGTTGCATTGCTATGGCTCGCATACAGAAACCTTGCACTGCCGGATATCCAACTTCCTCGAAACGGGTGAGTAGAAATCTGCTACTTGCAAGCAATGGCTTGAGGGTTCGTTGTCGAAATCGATTCAATCAATTACCTTGAGCCCATGGACACTGCTTTAAGAACACTTATGGTGTATTCCGACATTGAATACTGGCAGTGCGTTTAATGTCGATGAGTTCCCTTGGTACTATTAAAAAGACGAACGCAATCACTAAACAAAATCGCGGCACATGAATTGCTTTTAAACAAGGCTAGACTCTGAATGCCATAGAGATTATATGTTATTTAGTAGGAGAATTTGAAATATAAAAGTTTAGGCAAACATGTGCCATATTCATATGTAGTTTATTTGAACATGCCACAAAATTTAGTTTACATGTTTATGTTCCATGGTTGTCCAAAACCTAAATTGAAAACAGTGAAAAATTTGTGTAAGAATGGATGGACGTATTTCTTTCAATATAATGTCATTGATTATAAACATATTCATATTTGGATTTGTAAAGGTATATTTTCGTCGGGAAACTATTTAAGTTTGCACAATTTTTTTATTACTATTACATTTTTAAAATTACAACGTATATATTGTATATGTATGCCAGGTTTTAATCGAACCCCCATTCAATAAAATTGTCTTACAAAAAAAAAAAAACAAATTAGCTAAAAGATATTTAAAATATCAAATTTTAGTGATAAGTTTTGCTATTTCCTATATATATTCAAAAAAAAAAACGGCTTTTATATTTAGTAGTAATATTGAATTTCTTTGCATTTACTTATCATGTGATAATATTTTGAAAAAAAGTTTCCTTTAATTCTTGAGTTATTAAATATGAGTAATAATTAAATAAATTGAACCACAAATGAACACGTGTTTTTCCGGCGCTATTATATTTACCTTCACTTTAGCTTTAGAGATCATTGTCTATGCTCACGCAACGTTCAAAATAAAAGCAAATCGGAGGAAGAAGTGTCAACACGTTTAGTTTGTAGTACTTTGCCAAGCGTGCCATTGCCGGCGAGACGATGACGAGTAATTTTAGGGTAGTTCAACGTTCTTACCCCCCATTTATATCGGAATACTGTGAGCGGTTGAATAATGTGGAATATGTGTGTGCATTCGTTCGACGGCTATCAACAGCTTGATGAGCACCATCACCGCACACAATACTAGTTCGCTCTTTTGAGAGTTTCTTAGCTTACTCTATTAGATTTTTAGTGCTCGCTGTATGTTTTGCTGATTGTGGACTAACAGTTACTGTTGCAAATTCCCACCGTTTGGACGTGCGCAAAAACAAACACCCGTAGTCTCGTGCGCGAACAATCTCCTTATTTGCGAAGTGAAGTAAACAAAAGATTTTATAAAACAAAGTAGTTTTTACAGTTGGTTTAAGGTTGTTGTTAGAGAAAGTGGAGTGAAATTGCCATTAGATATTAGAAATTTGTGAAACAAAGAGAAAATCACAATAAAAGTCCTTATACTGCATACATAAATAGAAAATATTAAAAGTGTATATTTACTTCTATAAATTTTTGAAAATATGCGGTGCTATATTTAGTTATGAAAAGCGTCGCGTATTTTCAACAACAAGAACAACGTCCACGACAACGAACTGGCGACAACATTGAAGCAACAGGAGAGCTACCGAAATTAATTCAATCAATTTATGCACATAGTTAAGAAATGTTTAAGATGTTGCATGCTTTTGCCACTTAACAACGGTAAATAATATTAATTAAAATGTTAAATTCATTAAAACAATCACGTTAAGAATGCAGAAACAAACTGATATATTGTATGGTACATATGCTTAGCATATTCGTCTCTAAACACAAGAAAAACCCACGCTTTTCGCGACAGTAGTATTTCACTTGTTGTTATTGCAAACCAGAGTAGATACTATAAATGCTTATATATTCTATGTGTGGCACTGGTGGCGTATAAGTAACAGAAATATATGTGTGACGGTGCTTCGTTGCCACATGGCACAATGATAGTAGGAACTACGTAAAAGTATGTACGCGTATGTACGACGCGCTTCGATGCTTCGGGCACTCATATCATTTTACAACTTCTCTCATGAACTCCAGTTAGGGTGGCAGGGGACGCAGCTTCCATTAAAATTTTTTTTTATTGAAGAAGAAATGGATGAATATGGATATGTTAAGTTTTGCGCTAAAACTTTGAGTTTTATATACATACATAAATATATAAAAAAAATTCATTATTAATTATAAATAAAAAATATGAAAATTATTTTTCCTGATTTTATGAGGTAAATATGTAAATAGGGTGAGCCCACTTTTCTTTACATTATTAGCATATGCATGAGGCGTGTTTTGCAATAGCAGTCTAGCAGTCAGCATTGTTAAATATATATGTTTACTTATTTTTAAGCATAGGCACGTTATTATACCCTGAAATTTACCACGTTGTTTGTAACACTCAAAAGGGAATGTTTTAGACTCTATAAAGTATGTATATATACCTAAGTAAAGATTAAACGTATGTCTTTGAATGATGATCTTTTTTATTTGACAAGATATCTTCATGAAATTCAGGAAAGAGTATTGTCCAAGGCCACCGTACAATCTCCGAAATAATTGTTTATATCGCACCACTGTAACTTATAACTGTCATACAAACTCAGCGATCAAAATCAAGTTCTTGTACGAATTTTTTTTTTAATATTTGTGAAGGGTATACTAGCTTCGCCATCTGAAGTTAACGTTTTTTCTGAATTTTGACATCCATTCCATTACAATCCTTGTAAAAATTATAAGACAGTTCAGTTTAAGAAATCTCTCAACTGCGTACGCAGTTTTAAAAAATGTGAACTAAACTAAATCAAAATATCAATGAAAATTCTGCCTTCAGTGACAACAAATTCTTAGTGAAATTGCCAGACAAAACAAACAAAATAAAAAAGAACAAAAAAAATTTGCTTGTAGAAAAATATATAAACTATTTTAAGCACTCGCCCGCGTTTTTATCGTGCAACACGCACTTTTTCGCACTTTTGTTTATGCAACTGATCCGGCGAAGCAAAAAAGTGAATTTCAAAGCGATAAAATATTGTTATGCAAATATTCTTGGTATAAAAGTATATGCTAGTTTAGATGACAGCGAAAATAAGTACCTAAATTTAAAATAATATATAAGATAACAACGAATAATCATTAATTTACCAGCTGCTAATTCTCTTGTGTTATATATATATTCTTTTCAATATCCACCGACATCCATTAATTACAACAACAAAAACACAACACAAAATTTCGACTTCATCATCGTTTTTGTTTTCCGCCAGTTTCACGTCCAGCCTCAACAACAACCCCAGCCGCAGCAACTCGCTATGGGCTACAATATAGAGTGGATATTCCAGCGTTTACGGTGTCCTTCGGGACTTTGGTATATTGCTAGTCAAATTGCTATTACAGCGGTGGGATTGTTTGCTAAATTTGTACTGGGTAAGTATCGATGATAGTAATTTATAATCTTTATATAATTTTATCCATTGGCACGTGTGGGGTGGTGTCGAAACTTAAGTTTTTTTTAGTTAAATAAGAGAAAATGTGTGAAAATCTCACATTTTGTCCTCAAAATACTTTTTTTTGCATTTTTTCTTACGCAAAATATTCTTCTAAAATACAAAGTTTAAGACTCTTAATCAACAAATTAAATAAAGTCAACAAAGCAAACGAAATTACTCCGTGATTTGTATATCTTATCAACATTGAAACATTTTTCAGACAATTCGACTTCAGTATTTAGGTTTGATAAGTAGAACCAGACAAAAAAATAGTTAATTCATTTTTTTATAAAGCTTACGTCCGGATTACCGTATTGACAAAGTATAGAAATCGTTATCCAAATATTTGTCTTTGTTCAAAATCAATAAAAGCAGTATTCAGACTATATGTATGTAAAAAAACCTATATTGCTACAAATTGAACCATTTTAAATTCAAACAAGCAAAAACTTGAACTTCGCTTGGATCGAACCATACAAGCATTTGATATTGATCGGTCAATTTGTATGACAGCTATATGCTATAGAGGTTGATCTGAATAATTTCTTCGGAGATTGTACCATTGTCTTAAACACTAATCCATGCCAAATTTCGTGACGATACCTCGACAAATAAAAAAGTTTTCCATACAAGGACATGATTTTGACCGTTCAGTTTGTATGACAGCTATATGCTACAGTGATCCGATGTCGGCGGTTTCGACAAATCATGGACGGACATGTCTCACAAGTCCTCACGCTGGTCACTTTTATATATATATATTTTGTAAGGTCTCCGACGTTTCCTTCTAAGTTACCCCTGCGGGCAGGGGATAGAATATGCCCGCGGCAAGGCATGCCTGTCGTAAAAGGCGACTAAAAGCCAATATGCACTATAACTGTTATTATATACCTTGCTCAGTAATATCAGCATAGTATGTTTCGGAATAGTGCTATAATACTCAGCTTGAACTGATATTAGAAACACTTTAAATGAAAAAAGCGAATAAAAAGACATTTGAAGTTCAAGCGACAAATGTCGCCAGTCATTTGAGTAATGAGGAGCTCAACTGGCAGTAGTTTAGGCTACGCAGTCTGACCGGAGACTTTCCGGTACCACGGGGAACAGAAAGCCCTTGGACTTCTGTTCAATCTGCTCATTGGGCTCGGCCCTTTGGGGAGTATCGTGGTGGCTGTGGTTTAAACCTAAATGCTGGAAGAACTGAATTTTCAGTTCGAAAAAAGAAGTTGCACAAGCAACTGGGTTCCATACCCGAAAACGGAAGAGGTTTTAGGTCGGCCTCGAATCACACCAAGATGGTAGTGTGGACCCAGACACACTACCACTGGTATCCAAATAAATACTTGCAAAACGCTCGTATTGTTTGGGGCGCTTATCAACGCATTGTATTGATACGTTGTGTTTTGGAACACCGTGAGGTAAGGCCGTCGCCGGCAGGTACTCACGTAATCTACAACGAAAGTTTCCTTCTAAGTGTCAAAAACTTCGTGGCAAACTTAATGTACCCTGTTCAAGGTATCAAAAATCAAAAGTCAGTCTTAAAAGCAAGGAAATGTTGATTCGAGCAACAAATTGTGATATACAGGTTAGTTGGAAAAATTCTGCGTTCGAAATGAAAAAATATTGGTTTTGGTGCGAAATATATATTTTTATTCAATATAATCTCCTTACATACATACACTTATTCCAATGATTCTCCAATATTTTTATGCCATCCCTATAATGACTTTTCGGAAGCTCTGCAAAATACTTGTCTACAGCTGCTTCATTCGACGAAAAACGCTTTCCACGAAATAATTGTTTCAGCTTTCTGAAGAGGTAGTAGTCGCTGGGAGCTAAATCTGGTGAATACGGTGGATGCTCAAGCAATTCGTACTTTAATTCGTTGAATTTTGTCATTGTTAAAACACCTTTGTGAGCAGGTGCATTGTCTTGATATAAAATTACTTTTTATGCAGCAAACCAGGTCTTTTCTCACGAATTGTTTCCTCCAGCTGATCCAAAAGGCTGCAATAATAATCAGAGTTGATTGTTTTACCTTTCTGCAGATAATCAAACAACAAAATTCCTTTTGCATCCCAAAAAATTAATTCCATGAACTTATTTACTAATCGTTATGACTTCATCTGCTTTGGAGCTGAACAACCAGCTTTAGTCCACTGTAAACGTTCTTGTTTCAATTTGCGATCATGGTGGTAGATCCAAGTCTCATCCATAGTTATAAAACGCGTGGATCGTCTTCAAGCGTAGTACGACCATGTTGAAATTCACCAGCCCAAGTTCTACGGTGCGTTTTGAAGGTAAGGACTCCTTATACATTTCTAATAAGTGTTCATAAAATTCCCTTGCTTTTAAACTTTTCAAAACAAATAGTCTAATCACTGCGCGATATTTAATTTTTTCCATTTAAAAAAAATATACTCTGTCACGTCAACTTCAATTGGCTTGTAAAGAAAGAATTAATTGGCAGATTGACTTGTAACTTTGGATGTGTTCTCACAATGTACCAACTTGAGAAAAAAAAATTTGGAGCTAGTAGTGCTATTTCTTGGCAAGAACAGAAACTTTTCAACCAACCTGTATTTATGGCCCTAGTACTATAAATATAATGTCGATTTAGTAGAATGAGAATAGGGCTCCCGCACTCAGCTCAAGTACGAATTGCTATACAAAATGTTATGGGATAATATCGTATATGTTACAATATCCTGCTGTAAATCGAACTTAACCAGGATTCGTCCTCAGATAGTGTCAATTGTTAGCAGTACTAGTTTTACAATTTAATTTGTCTAACTCAACAACTAAGTGCAATGCAAGCAACAATTTCGAATTTATTTTTCTCTATTATTTATAAATATCGAAAGGTAAATTTTCATTTAAAATTCAAAAACAGCTAAAAATACAATTAGCAAAAAAATTTTCACTTCACCCACTCTTTATCTCAAAATTATTATAACATAGTACAATCCCAACTACTGGATCTATCTATGACTTTAAGACCAGCTCTAATGAAATAGAAAACAAGGAAGGGCTAAGTTCGGATGTAACCGAACATTTTATACTCTCGCAAAGTCAAATGGTATACTCGTTTGAGATTTCTTTGTGGATTGACTGATATTTTCGGTAGAAGGTCAACTATAGGCACTGTGGCATACTTTAATAGCATTATTCACGCAAAGTTTTATCTCGATACAGTCATTGTTGCCTGATTTGCATAGTGGAAAGTCAAAAAATCAGATGGAATTTAAAATGGTGTTATATGGGAAGTAGGCGTGGTTGTAATCCGATTTCGCTCATTTTCGCACTATAACATAGAGATATGTAAAATTGGTTAAAATCGGTTAAGCAGATCCCAAGATATGGGTATTTACCTAAAAGTGGGCTGTGCCACGCCCACTGTCTAATTTTGAACGCGGTTCCTATAAAGTTATCTCATACCATTGCAGAGATAAAATTTAATGTCTCTGGCGCGTTTCGTGCTTGATTTATCGCGCTTTTAGTAGTTTTTGACAGTACCGTTATATGGGGAGTGGGCGGAGTTGCCACCTGATTTAAACTATTTTCACACTGTAGGTAGAGGTTCTAAAAACATTTGCTTCCAGTGAATCTTGTTAATATAGCTTAAGTGGTTTAGGAGATATGCACATTAAACCTATTAGGGGCGGGACCACGCCCACTTAAAAAAAATTTACTGCAGATGCCGCTCTCTAATGTGATTCTGTGTACCAAATAACAGTCTTGTATCTTATTGCGGAGCTTAGTTATGGCAATTTATTTGTTTTTGATTAATGGCGTTTTGTGGGCGTAGCAGTGGTCCGATTACGCCCATCTGCAATACCAACCGTCTCACGGTACCAAGAAACATGTCTACCAAGTTTCATAAAGATATCTCAATTTTTACTCAAGTTAGAGCTTGCACGGACGGACGGACAGACGGACAGAGGGACAGACAGTCTCCCGGATTTCAACTCGTCTCTTCATCCTGATCATTTATATATATATAACCCTATATCTAACTCGATTAGTTTTAAGTTATACAAACAACCGTTAGGTGAACAAAACTATTATACTCTGTAGCAACAGGTTCCGAGAGTATAAAAATAACTAGGCCATGACATTATACATACATTGTTTAAAATCTGATGCTAACTGCTTTAGAGTGTACACATATTCTTGATAATGAATTTGCGTCAATCGCTTTATTTACAATCTATGAACGTAAAATTGAGTAGCAAAGCTATGTAAACGTCACTATCTCAAATGATTTGCTATCAGCTCTCGGTTTTATTTATATAGTTACTGGCGTGTGGCTGATATGATTATTTAGTAACAAAAATTATGAAAAAAATTATCTTCTTGTGATTGGATATGCTAAAAGACGAAACCAACTTCATAAAATTTGAAATTAAGATAGTAATAGAAAGTGATCCATTTACTTAGGAACTTTAATCTCTCGAAGGAGGTACTAGGTAGATTCTGCCTAAAAAAATCAAGGCATACTTTAAATTGGTGTTGATGCTGACTAAACTTATACGAAGTTACCATTTTGAATGTGTAGAAACGATAATATATCACTCTTTTAAATTTTATAACCTTGATTTCTTGTTTTATAAGCTCAAGTGCCTTCAAAATTCAGCATAAGAAATCAATTGCGTGATTAGAGTACAATGAATTTCATTTATTAACAAATATTGTAAACGAAAGGGCAAGATAAGCTGCTTGTTTGTCCGAGCCGCCGATATAAAGTGCTATAGCTTTCATACCAAGTGACTATTGAAAATCAAGTTCTTATAAAAAAAAATTTTCTATTTGACAAAATATCTTCATAAAATTTAGCCTAGATTACACAGCTCTTAAACAAACTTAGTAAATTTAAATGGTTTCAAGTGTCCAGATTACGAATTTATTCTTGAAAACATGGAATGTGCTCTTGTTTTT